GGACATACCCTATCTCCTCTCCTTCGCCCCTCCTGACCCCCAAAGTCCTCCCCACCCAGGTCCCTGCTCCTGTGGCCCCTGCAGGCTGCACACCACCCCCGATATCAGGTGACACCGTTCACGAGCCTCTCAAGATTGTCGCCACACCTAGATATTGTCAGGAAATCCCATAACACCCCAGGACAAAGATCTCCAGAGCTTCCAGGGAGAAAAAAGTAACATAAAATCAGCATCAAAATGCCACCCAACACAGCAGCGGTGGAAGCGGGAAGTGGACGGTGTGACGGCCTCAGACTCCAAACACGGAACATCTCCCACCTGGAATTCCAAACCGCTAAGCCACCAGCGCCAGGCAGAGACATCGCAGACACACACCGGCTCAAACGCATGCCCTATTCACCCACTCAGGAACCTAATACAGAAAGAAAAAGAAAAAGATGATTCCCCAAACGGTGGGAATAATACAGGAACAGTAAAGGCACGGGACCCAGAAAACACGGGCTCGAACCTGGGAGGGGGAGAAGCTGCCTCTGCATAGCCCAGCAGCCTGGGAGGGAGGAGGACCGCTCCAAAGGAGAAGAAACAGATTGCCCTCGCCAGCCAGCAGCAAAGCCAGGAGCAGCCGGGGTTTCGGGAAGAAATGTGTGACGGTGCACTGAAAAGGAAGAGAACAGAGAAGCCAGGCGGGGTGGCTCATGCCTGTCATCCCAGCACTTTAGGAGGCGAGGTGGTCGGGTCACCTGAGGTTGGGTGTTCAAGACCAGTCTGACCAACATGGAGAAACCCCATCTCTACTAAAAATACAAAATTAGCTGGGTGTGGTGGCGTATGCCTGTAGTCCCAGCTACTCAAGAGGCCGAGCCAGGAGAATCGCTTGAACCTGGGAGGTGGAGGTTGCAGTGAGCCGAGATGGCGCCATTGCACTCCAGCCTGGGCAACAAGAGCGAACCTCTGTCCCAAAAAAAAAAAAAAAATAGGCAAGTCCATTATTAATTCCAGAAAAACAAAGGCGCCATAATAAACATCATAAATTCATAGTACCACATTAATCAAAAAAAAAAAAAAAAACAGTCCACTGGACTTCATTAAAATTAAATACTTTTGTTCTTAAAACACTATTACAGAGCCGGGCACGGTGGCTTACACCTGTAACCCCAGCACTGTGGGAGGCGGAGGCAAGTGGATCACAAGGTCAGGAGTTTGAGAACAGCCTGGACAACATGGTGAAACCCCATCTCTAGCAGAAATATGGCATCAGCCGGGTGTGGTGGTGCATGCCTCCCATCCCAGCTACCTGGGGGGCTGAGGTGGGAGAAGCACTTGAACCTGGGAGGCAGAGGTTGCGGCGAGCTGAGATTGTGCCGCTGCACTCCAGCCTGGGCAACAGAGTGAGACTGTCTCTAAAGGAAAAAAAACCACTATCACCAAACAAAAGGCCCACCAGACTGGAAGGAAGTATGTGCAAAACGGATTCCTGGCAAGGGACTTCCATCTCGAGCACACAGAGAACTTTTATAACTAGAGAAGACAAAACCCAAGTGAAATAAAGGGGAGATCCAAACCCCCACTTCACTAAGAGACAGACAAGCGGCATGGGAGAACACCCACAGCAGCTCCACAACGTGAACCAAGGAGGCGCACACGCGGGAATGCCCCAAACTAAGAACACCTCAGTGTCCATCAGCAGATGAGGGTCTGACACGCACACAGCAGGGCCCTGCAGGCGACGAGGCGCAGTGAATGCCTAACACGGCAGCAGGACGAGGCTCAGAATAACCACGCACTCCCGAGGACGCCGTACGGAAAAAGAAGGCACGCCGTATGGTTCCACTTCTGTAAAACTCGAGCCAATGCACACTAAACCACAGTGACAGAAAGCGGATCAGCAGTTGCCTGGAGATGGGGAGGGAGGGCCCAAGGACTCTTGGGACAGGAGGGAGGGAGGGACACACAAGTTCACTGTCGTGACCGTGGCCACAGCTTCACAGGGGTACGCACGTCAGAACTCATCACACTGGACACTCAACACGTGCAGTTTATTACACTACAATCACACCTCAATAAAGCTGTGCAGTGATCATAGCATACTGTCTTGGCCATAAAAAGGATTTATATCATCAGATAACACCGTATGTGGGTTTAAACAAGAATTGTGATAATTGTATTGGGTGGGGCAAGGGAGAGCATAAAAAAATCCCAGTCAAATTCTTCCACAGGAACAATCCATTCCATGTCCGCACTTCCGGAGCAGAGGACGAGGAACGGCATAAACCTGCCCTCTGAGACACACAGTCAAGGGAGCTGCCCCCACGCAGTGGGACCTGGGCGCAGCAGGAGGGTGGGAAGGGGACAGCTTGGTTTTGAACAAGGATGTGCTACTTTCATAAAAACCCAACTCCCAAGTGACCCAGCAATTCCAGTTTCAGTGCATGCCCAGGAGAGAGAAAAACACACTCGCAGCTGCCGGAAGGTGACACAGCAACCCCGAGTAAATGAAATGGCCCCTCCATGCAACAGGTCATTGTTAAGCAGAAACGGGGATGAGGCCCTGACAGGGCTACAGCACGATGGACCCTAAGCACGTGCTCAGGGAAAAGGGGCAGACACAGAAGGTCACACCTGTACAACTCCACGCGTATGAAACCTCCACAATGGGCCAGCCCAGAGACAGACGCAGACGTGTGGCTGCGAGGGGCGGGGAGCAAGGGGATGAGGGAGTGACTGCTTAATCTATAAGGGGTTTCTTTTTGGGGTGATAAAAACGTTTTGGAGTTAGATGGGGTAATGGCTGCACACTGTAAATATGCTAAACCCACAGAACTGCACACTCCAAAGGGGTGGCTACATGGCATGTGAATGGTGTCCAAAGCTGCTACCAGGAAAAAACCCTGAGCCCCAGAGCAAGGCTGGCATCTGGCTGGCCCTCTGCAGATGCACACGGGGGGCTCCAAGCTCCAGGAGGGGCCCTGGGAGAGACTGCAGAAACCCACAGGTAGACGGACACTCCCTCCTCCCTCCCTCTCCCGGCGCTTCCCCCTGCTCCTCCTCCCCGTGCCCAGAGGCTCAGCGGCTTCTTGCAGTCAACCACCAAGGACTCTGCTAACAGGAAGTTCTGGAATCCCACTAGCTTCAGACACAGCCACGCCTCACTGTGGGCCACACACAGCCTGGAGTTCCCCACGGGCAGACCCTCATTCGAAGACAGGGAGAAAGCACAAGGTCCTCCAGCACATCTCCCAGCACGCGATTAATTACGTGAGACAATGCCTCCTTCCGCCAGGTGCAGTGGCTCGTGCCTACAATCCCAGCACTCTAGGAGGCTGACGTGGGAGGGTGACTTGAGCCCAGGAGCTCAAGATCAGCCCGGGCAACATAGTGAGATGCTGTCTATATAAAAGATTAAAATAAAAAAGTAGCTGGGTGTGGTGGTACATGCCTGTGGTCCCAGCTACTCAGGAGGCTGAGGCAGGAGGATCACTTGAATACATGAGTTGGAGGCCACAGGGAGCCATGATCATGCTACTGCATTCCAGCCTGGACAATAGAGCAAGACCCTGTCTCTAAAGAAAAAGAAAGAAAATGCCCCTTTCAAAGATACCCCCTGCTTCTGCGCTTCTCCAAACCCTGCAGACGTGGGCCAGGCCCCAGGAGTTCCAGGGGAGTCCCCAGAAGCCGCAATAGAGTCTTGGCCTCCACCGCCCAATGTGGTGCACCTCACACGCCACCCTCCAGGCTGAGTTTCTGGAGGCCTGGCAACCCCACCCACAGCACCTCCTCCCCTCCTCCCCAGCCTGTCAACACAGCAGGGCTGAAGAAACAAGTTGCCCAGGAATCACCAGACCTGCAGCAAACACCCCAGCAGGCCTGCCCCATGGAATGGCATCTGGGGGGGGCCTCCAATGAGGGGCTGCAGTCCCAGTGCAGGATGTCATGAGCAAGCTGGACAGCACAGAGCCTAGGCAGGCAAAGTTGGGTTCCCGGGGTCCCAGGCCCAGAGCATCAGCATCAGGGAGATGGAGCCTCTTCTGGGAGCTGGAATTGGCACAGAGCAACCCAGGACCCCCCACCCCACTGCCTGCCGACACGGCCAGGGCCTCTGTCAGTCAAGGGGGCCATCAGACCAAGAATAAAAGTAAAAAGGAGAAGGGACCAGGGCCAGTCACGCCTACGCTTGCCACCGAGGGTCTCCAGACCCACAGACCACCTCCCAGATCAGCAGCCACGGGGAGGGGCCACGGGCGAGCACGGCTGTCCTCTGTTACCAGAAAGGGGTCCAAGTGGCTTCTCCAGCAACTCAAGTTTCTGGAGTGTTGAGGGCCACTCTGCCGGCCACAGCCTGCTCCAGAAGCAGCCACTGAGCACAGGCCCAGCCGTTCGGGGGTCTCCAGGGCGGGCAGAGGAAACCTCAGCACTGCCCTGCTAGATGAGGGGACTGTGGAGGCACGCACCCCACCTGAGCCACACCTGTGCTGTGGCTCCACCACACAGGCCCCGACTTTCCAGGTTTCACACTGGATCCCTTGACATTGGTGTCACATGAGCCATCACAGAAAATCTGCAGAACGTAGACAAAGTGCCAATAGCATAACCTGGTGTGTACGTTACACCAGGAAATCCACCTGCCCACGCGGCTGGGTGTCTTCCTCAGGGCCGCCGCCCATGAGGGCTTGCCTTTCTCACTCTTCAATACTGGGAACGAATCCCCCCACCATGTAATCCCACCCTCCGAGCACACAGACCCCCGTGTCAGCTGTTCCAGTTTGCCGAGAATGCCTTTGAACATGGGTCTGCCTGCTTGTCCTCACCCCAAGCTGTAAGGCCTCGGGGGACAGGCACCCTCCAACCACTTCCAGCAGGGTGTGCGCCCCTCGAGGGAGCTCCAAGGGTGACTGTCATTAAAATATTTTCCTATTTGACAGGCAAAACCTGATCCCAAACCAAAAAGGGGGTGGACACAGGACAGGGCCCCAGCCGTCTGAAGACACCAAGCGGGGTCTCACCGAGTTCTTTGGAGCCCTGGCTCTCGCTGGCCAGCTCCCCCATCTTCACCAGGGCGTCAAAGTAGCCTTTGGCCGCATATGTCACACCTGGAAGAGAAGAGAAGGGAGTCGTTATTTCCCCCGTGGAGGACAGACGACAAGACCCCCAGCAAAAACACGGCAGTCACGGCACACACAAGCCAACCCCATCTCCGGCCCAGACAAGCCTGGAGAACAGCCAACTTGCTGTGATTTCTGGGTTGGACGGAACCCACCTCTTGCTGATATGCTTGTTTCACCCCAATCATGAGGGCTCCCTTGACTCTAAGAACACAGTTACTGGTTCAGGTCCTGGGCTATTCAAGTCAAACTGCTGAGTACTGATCCCTGTCACATGCTACCAGGCAGGGTGAGGGAGGGAGTGTCAGGCCAAGTTACTTCATGAGACAAAGAACCAACCCTAGGTAAGGAAGCTGCAGAGCTGGGCAGCAGGAAGCCGCTTCCCCACAGACCCCAGGGCTGAGGCTGCAGTGGGAGCACTATTTCATACTGCTTCACAGTGTCAGACCAGGACTCCCGCTCGGGGGCGGGTCACGCTGTTCAAAGGAGAGCAAACGCATCCAGAGGGGCCTCCCCCCGCCTTCCCTGTCTCAGAGGCAGAGTCTGATCTAATCAGAAGTGGGTGTGAAGGGCTCCAGCAGCTGGACTCCTCCCCAGCCACAGGGCTGGAGCAGGCTCCAGGAGAGCCAGGGTCTCCTCCTCAGGGACTCCGGGGAGTGCCTGGCAAACCCCTCCACCTGACGGGGAGCCCCACCCGACCTCCAGGCTGCAGAAAGGGCCAAGCAAGGCCCTGGAGAGGAGCGTAATTACGATTTCTAATCCATTTTCTGCAGAACCCACTTAAGGGCTTATCACTGGGCACTTTATCAAATTTTATTTATATACTTTTCAATTAAGAGCACACATGCGCTCTGCGGCACAGGACCATGTCCTTGGGGGAATGCCGGGCTGCTGTGGCCTGGGAGCGGCGGCTTCCCAAAAGGAGAAGAAAGCAAAGCGGCTCAAGTGTGACTCCGGGCAGCTGGCTGCGGCTGCGGCGGTGCTGCCGGGACGGCCGCGCTCATTCCTTCGAGGCCATCAGGAAACAGAGGAGGAGGAAGGAAAGCCCCCAGCGTCTGCACTCAGCCCACCGCCCTCACGAGGAGCCAGGCGGGTAGAAAGGCCCGGAAGGAACCCGTGTCTCGGCAGCATCAAAGGGCTGACTGAAGTGGAAGGGCCTGCTCAGCCGGAAGAGGCAGGCACAGGCGCCGGCCCCGCTGCGACCCACTCCAAGTGGCCTCCACACCACGTCCCTGCACGGGTGGCCGGGAACGAACCCGCCACTCGGAGCAGCGTGAGGGCTACCACGGACTTGCCATAGACAGGCCGCCAAGTGTCCTGCAGACGAGTGGCTCAGGAAAAGGAAGCCAGTCTACAACGAGCAAGGGCAGCCCCATCTCCAGGGTGGGACCTTCTGGACCCCAGATTCCCACCCATGATGCTCACAGTTCAGACCCGGCTGGGAAGAGATGGACGACTGGCCGCATTCACGGGGATGGAAACGAGCTGGGCTCGGAGAATCCGTACACTGCTGGCCGTGGCCGGAGACCACGGGATCGCCACGGTTGCAAGCCCCCTGCACCCACCTCGAGCCAGGCCTCCGCCTTCCTGCTCTGATTCAGGAGCCTCTTTCCAGAGTCAACATCTCACACCAGAGGCAAAGGCAGCTCTCCCTGGGACCCCCAGGAAGTTACCCAGCAAGCGGAGAGCACCGTAGGGAGCAGACCACGTTGCAGCTGCCACCAGGAGGCCACACCAGCTCTCAAAGCAGCCACAGGCTCTGCTGCCGACTTCCTCTGCCTTGACCAAGAGGCTCCTGGCTGGGGGACAGGAGCCAGTGCCATAGCCAGGATCTACACTGTCATGCAGACCCTGGAGGCCGGGCGCGGTGGCTCACGCCTGTAATCTCAGCACTTTGGGAGGCCGAGGCGGGTGGATCACGAGGTCAGTAGATCGAGACCATCCTGGACAACATGGTGAATGAAACTGTCTCTAATAAAACGCAAAAAAATTAGCCAGGCATGGTGGCGCGTGCCTGTAATCCCAGCCACTTGGGAGGCTGAGGCAGGGGAATCGCTTGAACCCAGGAGGCGGAGGTTGCGGTGAGCTGAGGTCGCGTCACTGCACTCCAGCCTGGGTAACAGAGTGAGACTCTGTCTCAAAAAAAGACAAAAAGAACCTGCAGACTTCCGCGGGAGAAAGGACAGCTCCTTAGGACAATTCTGATGGGCCCATATAGAGGAGGGGCAGGGTGGAGAGAAACAATGCTGTTCCTGGGGCAGCCACGGGGGGGCCCTGCAGGGTGGGGCCCAAGGGAGCTCTGTGTCCCCTTCATGCCCACAAGGAAACACGAAGGTCACCTCTGCTAGACGTGGCAGGCAGGCACAACTGGCCCACCTGGAGAGCTGAGGAGGAGGGCAGTGCCAGGGACAGGCCTTCTGCTGGGTGCTTGGGTGAGGTGCTTTGTCCCCAGGTGACAACGAAGTAAAGGTGGCAGAAAAAGAACGAGGACAGACCAACTCCGGCCTCCTCCTTGCTACCTCTAACCTGGCACCAAAACTGGACAACCAACTCCACCCAACCCGTGGGTGGCGAGACACCAGGAAGCTGTGGAGGAGCCGCACGTGCGGGGTCATGTCTCGGGAAACACATCTTCTCCTCCCTGCTAGGGGGTGTGGATTCTGCTTATGAAGACGCTGCAGTTGGAGGGACAGACACGGTCAAGGGTACAGGGAGCCCAGGGTCACTGCCCAAGAACCACGAGTCCCCAACCGTGGCAGGACTCAGCCATGAGCACCTGCGGGCCCAAAGGGGCAGGCACAGAGGGCTTCTGGGGACAAGGAAGAAACTGCCCACTGGGACAGGAGGACCCACGTGCACCCAAGGCCCCGAGGCGGAGCGCCTGGGTAGGGTGGGGGCAGTGGGAAGAAAGGAACGGCCCTGTAGCCCCCGGCCCCCCACACCCTCCGTCCTGGCTCTCCGTTGGCAGGAGCCACAGGGTGTTCACTCATCAGAGAGGTGACGCAGTTCCCAGAGCCAAAGCCGCTGCAGCTACCAAGAACTTCATCCCAGCCCCGATCCCACAGTTTCCACACGGTTCTGAGGGCCTGACATCTGCACCCCTCCTGCCTCCAAACGCCACGGGACGAGAGCGGCCTGCACAGCCAGGGGCATGCTGCCACGGTGACAGCAGACAGGCCAGAGCGCAGGGCTGCACCTTGGCTCACAGAGCCTCTGTCGGGCTATGTTTCTGGAACCAAAGACCTCCTTTCGCTCCTGACCAGGCCCCACGGCTGTGCCCAAGTCCATCTGCCAACCCAGGAAGCAGCTCCCACCCCACGGGGCCAGGGGGCAGTTCTACCTGCCAGCGCCTTCTCATAGTTCTTCCCCATGGCGATGAAGTTCCGGAGGCTGGGGTTGAACTGCTCCATGATGGTCTGGAAGAAAGCAGAGAAGAGAAGAAACGGCATTACTGGCAGGGGTCACCCTAGTGACTCTGAAGGGTCTGAACACAGAGAAAACCCAGAGCAGGCATCGCCTGCTGCGGGTCGAGACCACAGACGCTCAAGCGGGGCTTCCCAAGTTCAAATCCCAACCATGCCCCTGACCAACCTGAGCCTCGGTTTTCACATCTCTACAATGGGGATAGGACGAGGCCCCGCCGCAGAGGTGTTGGGATTGGAGGAGCGACTCTGCACGGTGCAGCAGGCGGTACGTGACTGGCGCTCAGATGCGCTGCTGCCGAGGCTCAGCCCAGTCAGCCCAGAAGGACCCCCCACCAGCCACACACAATCGCTCAGCTACACCGGCGCCCTCTCCCACTGAATCCTACTCAACACATCAATTACCAGACATCAGCTCTGATTAGTGCCATCACAGCCTGATCTGCAAATGCCACACTATGAATAATCCAGCGGCTCTGGGTCTGTTTGCCTGACGAACGGGCATCTTGGTGCCAAGATCAGCAGTTCTTAGACTCAAGAAATTAGATTTTCACTGCGAAGGCCAAATAAATGTTTTAATTACATGGCATAAAAACAGGCACACACAAACAACCGCCAAATGAGACTTCTACCAGCACAACACGCGCTGTCAATGGCCAACCCCCGCCGGCAAGGGCCGGGGAGCAGCTCCAACAGAAACCCCGGCTCCGCCACCTTCTGTCTCTTCCGGTTGTTTGTTGTGATGTGATCCTGATCTTTCCTGAGGATCACAGGAAGGGAAGCCGCCCAGCCTGCTCACAGACAAGCAGGAGGCTGTGGGGCCCCCACCCAGCTCCAACCTGTGGGCGAGGGGGTGGGGAGGGAAGGGCAACTCCATCCTCCACCCCCTCCCAGCACCTGGCCTCAGCCTCCGGAGCCACCAGGGCGGATAAAAAGGGCATTTAGGGACAAGAAAGCCACTCCCCACCATCAGATCCGGCTCCAGAAAACCCGCTATTTGACGCGGGCTCCAACCGCTGGCCAGGGTGTGCTCCTGGGGAATGAGGCCCTGAGGTCTGCGCTACCACTAGGGCTCGAGCAGGCCGGGTGCACCTCAGTTCTGCGTCTGCTGGAACCTCAGGTGGTCATGTCACCCAGCCAGGTCCCAGGGCAGGTGTCCCTTCCTTCCTGGATGCAACAAAGGTGAGGGTACCTCTGCGTGCTGGACCAGAGCCCATGTGCACGGGGGTGGGGGACGCAGCAGCCACCCAGCCACACCAAGTTCTGTTCTCACAGAGCCAGTATCAAGCAGAGAGGGCAGGACAAGGGGGCCAGGGCTTCCGCAGGAGTGAGATGGGCACGCTCAGCGAGACGTGGAGAGCAGGCAGGGAAGCACTTCCCATGCCAGAGAGCAGCGGGCAGACCGAGACAGGCCCACAACAAGTTCCTGGGAAAGCAGGACCCAGCACGGGGGTGGAAGGGGCCCAGGAGAGGCAGGAAGAGGAAGAGGAGGATGGGACGGCCCCTGAGGCCAGGCTGCACGAAGCTACAGAGGATCTGAGCAGAGCGACTGGCCAGTTACATTTAGATCCCACTGGGTCGGGTGTAGTGGCTCACACCTATAATCCCAGCAGTCTGGGAGGCAGAGGTGGGAAGATCACTTAAGCCCAGGTATTCAAGACCAGCCTGGGCAACATGGCGAGACCCCATCTCTACAAACAATTTAAAAATCAGCTGGGTGTGGCGGTGCATGCCTGTAGTCCCAGCTACCCAAAAGGCTGAGGTGGGAGGATTGCTTGAGCCTGGAAGGTCAAGGCTGCAGTGAACTGTGATTGTGCCACTGCACTCCAGCCTGGGTGGGCAGAACCCAACGCCGTTATCCGAAAAAAACAGAAGAGAGATTCCTCTGCCTGCTCAGGGAAGACCAGATTTTATGTAAGGGCTCTGGCGTATGCTGGGAGACCCATCAGAGGCTCTGGGATTCTCAGAGGACAAGCAGGTGCTACGCAGGCCTCTGTTCTAGGGACGGAGATGCTGCAGCAGAGCCGGATTAGAGCTGAGCTAAGAAAGCCCTTAGCATGGAACCAGGAGCCTGGGTGCTTTCATTCCCAGGAGTGCCTGGGAGTGAGGGCAGAGAGGCCACACAGGGAATGGGGTAAGACGGGTCCAGCGCCCAGGAGAACGTGAGTCACAGATGACACCTGAGAGTTACCAGCAGAGAGGTGAGCGCTGGGACCCGGAGCACTCTCGGAAGCCTGGTTCAAACTGACCGGCGCAGACCAGGACGGCAGCAGAGGCGGTCAGGGAATGCTGTCGATGTGCGTTTACTGTATGTCATGAAAGTGCAGACGTGGGCCATTGGCCAAGTGAGGTGGGTGCAGCTGGGTCTGGTGCTCTGGTGAGTGTGCACAGACACAGGCACGTGTGCACATTGTGTGTGCATGCATTCGTGTGCGTTCCTGTGTGCACGTACATATCTGTGTGTGTGGCGCTGTTGAGCTGCAGCATCAAACATGTTTCTCGCCCTGTGACAAAGGTGCGAAAACACTACCACAGAGGGTGGGCGTGCTGGAGCGGACCCCTCGCTCACAAGAGCCCCACGTGCTTGGCTCCAGGACCGTGACCCCCCCGCCTACCACGGGCTCCTGGGCAGGACCCTGGGCGGAAGAGGAGGCTCAACCTGAGCCCCATGAGCTCCACCAACACCCTGAGTGGCAGGAGAACAGGCCAGGAGCCACCCAGTGCCAGCCAAGGCGGGTCAGCACGGCAGCCATGTGCACCGCGTGACGCACGGGGCAGCCTCGAGGTTTCGCTTCCTTAGTGCAGCAGCTGAGCTCACTTGGAAGGAATGAGGGCGTGAGCGGGCAGGGGACAGCCGCCAGGCCACCTGGGCATGGCCGTGCCTCTGTCTGCAAGAGAAGGGCGGTGCCCAAAGGCAATGGCAGTGGCATGGATTCCACTGAGCCGACATTCTAGGCGGGGACTCCCCTTCCAGGGCAGAAGGGCCAGTTCCTCCTTCTACATCTGCATACAGCACCCAGCCCCTGGGCCAAAAGAGCGGCCTTCTGTGGAGCCCTGCCTCAGGCACCCGCAGCAGGCGTCACCCACCCTCCTCCAGGCTCCTCCCTCCCGGGAAACACAGGAGAAGCCAAATGGCCCATGAAGAGCCCAGCACCTCTGGTGGGAGCCCAGCTCCCGTCAGGCGTCTCTCTGAGCCCCAACCGAGTCCATTCCATCATCCTAGAGCTTTTCCAGCCCTGCGGGCCCGTGTGAAGGCCCCCAGCATGAGAAGAACCCGCTGTGGGGCACACGCTGCAGCCCAGCCTCCACCTCCGCCTTGGCACCGGCTCCCCAACCAGGTCAAGGTCCAGGTCTGGGGGTCTGTGGCCAAGGGGCTTTGCAGTGCCCAGGGGGTCCCCAGGTGGGGGCAGGGGAGCCAATGACAGGACGCTCCAGCTCCTCTGGAGCAAACACCCACAGCAGCAGCACTGGGTGGATAACTCTGTTTTCAGTCACACCGACGTGACTTCTCAAGTCACTGAACAAGTGTCTCTCTTCGCAGGATGCCACCAGGAAGGACCTGAGCTCAGATGCTCAGACACCCAGATGCCCGGACAGTGCTGGGGGGCGGGGAGGTCTGGGGCTTTAAAGGGGCTAGTATCAACACCAAAGGGCGGCAAAACAGAAAAGCCCAGGCCAGGGGGAAGAAACTGCACAAGAAAATGACTTCCGGCCCTCAGAAGGGCCACCCCCTGCAGCGGGTCTGAAGTGAGTTTAAAGCCCAGCTGTCCACACTGCGGGTGCCCAGGGCCGCACTGCGCCGTCCTCACGACCACGATAAAACTCAAGGGCTCCGGGGCGGCCACAGGCACAGAAAGAGCTTCCAGGGGTCCATGCTATGACCCCGTCCCTGCTGCCAGGACAGAATCCTACACCATGAGCATCCACCACACTGTCCTCAAACTCCAGAACCTGTATGGTGTGCATGGAGCTCTGCTGTGACCCAGTGACCACACACTGGCTCCCTGGGCAGCGCGCCTGGGCCAACGCAGACTTCCACTGACTCGTGTGTTCATTCACTATTCGGCAGGGAACACTTTTCGCACCCCAGGTGGGGTCCTGGGGTGCCTGCCCACAAGGGGCTCCCAGACACGCTGTGGAAGGCTTCCCTCCTAGAACAGAGGCTATGAAGGGCCAGGTGAGGAGAAGCCCCTGCCCAGGGATGCTGGCAGGCTTGGCTGCCCTCCTGTTGGGACGCACAAAGAGAAAGATGTCTCACAGGCCCTGGATGGCATGGACCCCAGCTGTCCCTACTGCAGCCCCCAGGGACCCCAGCTATGCATGTCTGCAGGTACGAATGGGAGGGCCACGTCCCCCAGCTGTAGAGGTGGCCGTCAGAGAACGTCGATGAGCCCAGGGAGCCCTTCTGGCTGGTGAGCTGCTGGACACTGCTGGCCAGCATGATTCAGTGCCACGGGCCGGCCTGGCCAGTGCGGGCACAAGGCCACAGAACTACTGTAGTCACCACCTCCTTCCAACCTGGGGAACACAGGGAGGGTGGCCAACACATTTAGAGAAAAGAGCTTTGCCAGACGACTTTGCTCTCCCGCCCACTCCGGGCTGTGCTGGGGTCCACCTTCCACCTGACCACTCAGGAATTCTGTTTACCCCCGGCTCTCTCCTGTGACGCAGCCTCTCCAGCATTTTCCTGGCAGGGTGGCCACAAACAAAAGCAGTTTCTCTGCTGACAGAAAGAGTGACCTCCCCCTTCCCTCCAGCCCCTCCAGGCAGATGCCAGGGTGGGCATGTCCGGCCAGCCCCTGGGCCTGCGTGCATCTATACCCATGCATGCACAACAGCCGCATGTGCACTACACTCACGCATGTGCCGGACACGTGCCTGTGTGTAGTCAGGCTGAGCCATGTTTCCTATCCACTCAGAAGAACAAACTTAAGAGAAAAGGTGGATGCTGGGACCCTCCTGGCTGCCTTAAAGCCTCATCACCTAATCCTCAC